CTTTTATATGCACTATACGAATATACTTTATTTTTGATAAATTTTAAGAGCACCTATTATTTGTTTAAATTAATAAAAAAGTAAAGGCCAACTCACCGATGAGGTACACTGGATGACATCGCGACAGTTGTCGCCCTCGCCGGCCACCAGGCGGAACCACTCGCCGGCGTCCTTGTCCTTGCAGAGCTCCTTCTCGAAGGACTCCTCCTTCTTGGTCTCCTCGGTGGTGGCCTGTCGCCTGAATCTCAGCAGAGGATCGCTCTCATTGGCTGTGGCTGTTGGGTAAAGCGAGAAAAAAGAGGGAAATGGCTGTAGCAAAATAGTTGCAGTTGCAAAACCGGAAGAATTTCTACGGCGAATGTGGGTTGGGTTGGGGTTTTGGGGCATGAGGCTTGAAGCTTGGGGTTGGGTCCACCATGTCGCCATGGCCTGGCACTTCCTGTTACCAAAACACAGATACGGCTGGGCTGGATTCGACTCCTATTCGAGCTTATAGACAAGGCATGCGGTCGGGCTGGTTGGTATAATGTGGATGTGGATGTGGTGTGTTGGCCGAAAAAAAACACGTTTGGCATTATGAAATACGATGTCACCAGAGAACCGAAAGCGCAGAAACAGAAATAAATGTCTGTGTACAAAATACAGAAATACAAAAATACGAAAAATACAGAAAGCATTCCGAAACTCGTTGCGCCTGCGCTATAACTTTGACATTTTGCATCTTGCGACTTGGCAACAGTCGAGTGGAATTCGAAACCGAGATGTCGAGGGAGTCGCCGCATTTGCATAACCGTTAATTGACAGTCAGCAACAAGGCAATGTTTATGCTGCGACTTTAATCATGATCGATGGCCTGTCAAAGTCAAGTCGATTCGGATTCCGATTCCGATTCAAATCGAATCGAGTGGAGCTCAGAAAACTGCATTGACAGTGCTCAAATGTCAACCTGAATGGGTTTCTCCGCGGCTCAAGGTTCACGTTTTGGGTACCTAGGTCCCTTAAGCAAATGAAAGTTGTTTTCCGAACTCGTCCTTTTTTTTTCTCGCCTTTTCGCATAATCAAGGTTACCACATTCACATCTTGACAACGGCTTTTCAATTTCATTTTGATTTTCCTCTTTGTTTTTTCTCTCTTGTTAATTATTTTTTTTCGATTTTTTTTTTGCTCTTCTGAAGGCCGAACCAGTCGAGCAGTTTTTAATTGATGTCTTGACAACTTCCGCCAGCCAAAATGCAAATTGCAGTTCAATAATTAAAACTTATGACTATGTTTGAGAGGCATAAAATATACGTATTTTATTGGAGACCTTACCTTCGTTAAAGGCCGCCAAAGCCAAAACGGCAAAAACCACAAAAAGTTTTGCCATCTTAGGTTGGACTTGGGATTCGATCAGTAGATGTCCGTTGTCGCTGCACCGTTTTTATACAGAGTTTTTTTTATTTTGTTAACACACTTATATGGGGAAAAAACACTTGTTCGGAGTTTGGTCGACGGAGAGCAAGTTTTGTCCTTCCGATCGCTATCAAAGCTCCATTTACACTGTTTGCTACGATGCCGCGCACAATTTCTCGAACCCCTCTCTGACACCAAAGCCCCAGACGAAGTCAAAATTGCTTCTTTTATTACACGGTGAGATCTGTGGTGAGTTTTGGAGAGCTTTCCTGCAGCTCGACGATCGGCAATCGGCGATCGTGGATCGTGGATCGGTTGGCGAAAGGGGCAGCCCCGAATGGGATCCACTAAAGCTCTGGAGCTGATCACTGATCACTGCTCTGATCAACTGGCAAGCCCGGCTTTTTTTTTGGTTGCACAAGTCTTGGCCCGATCGTGACCGGATCGTGGTCGAAAAGAAGAGAGAAGTGCGGCACGTACGCGTTCACTCTTTTATATGCAAAATGGTGGCGGCTTTCGACTAGCACATCGGCGAGGTGAGAAGTGAAGCCGCCGTTGTGGATTGCAAGTATGTGCAGAGTTTGGAAGCGCACTCCCCGGTTTGTTTTTTCTGTTTTAGCCATCAAACCATTATGCAAATGGCACCATTGGCCATACATAGTGGCGGTACTACCATCAGTTTCCAGAACGTCTGCGAGGCCTCTTGACTAACCCTCTCTATTTGCTGGTGGAGTGTTGGATGTGTGTCAGGCGTAACACTCCGACTGGGCGTGCCCACACAGTCACAAAAAATAAATGCATTTTTAATCATCCTACATATACGCATCAACGTATTTATGAGTTTGCTTTTTATTTGGCAAACTCATTTGCTTCGGGTATTTTAACTGTTCAGTGGACTTGGTAACTGGTTGCGGACAGGGCGTATGGGTGATGTTATAATTCTCTTTAAGGAGTATTTTATAAGTATAAAGCCATAACTTAGCTTCATGCTTTTTTCCTGGTTTTAATAATGTGTATCTAAATTTTAAAAATTAATTTCCTGTTTTTTTCCTGGCTTTAATATAATATTATTATCCAAATTTTAATAATTTTAATAACTTATTTTGAGCTATTCAACTATAAAATGGGTTTCCTAACAGAATTCTACAATGCCAATATCTGGATAATATAAAGGAAATGTATGTCAACAATATTAGTAATCAGCAAATTAGCATGTAAATCCATTATAATCCCTTATATTATGTTTCTATTTTATTTTCAAATGTATTTCAAAGAGTCTTTAAACTTCGTATTGCTAAAATATAAAAAAAAGAAAGATACATATTACGAATTGTATTTTATTTGTTGGCTAAGTAGTTCCTCTCCGTCGTCTGGTCGTTCCAATTTAAAAGCTGTTATTTTTTTTTTACCCACAGCGACCTTGATCATTTTAAAGCCAAATTAAAGCCATTTATGGCCCACAGAGTGATACGTAGTGGCGCGACGACTGCCAACTGACAGAGAGGCGTCTAAAGGCGTGACGAACTGCCACCAACTTGAGCGTTTTTCTACCATTTTTTTTTTTGGTCCGCTGCCTGGTTGGTGGCTTCAACTTTAAAGTGTGCCAAAGTGTTTTGCCGTTCGACGAGAGACCTTTCTGAATTGTCATTGTCTATTTTTGCCACTCTTGACATTTGCATAGAGGAGTAAGGCTGACTGCCTGCCTCTCGGCTTGAATTTCCAATTAAGATTAAGTAAAATAAGTCTTTGGCTTGAACGGTTTCCGCTTCAACGCATACACAACATAACATCTGCCTGATGGAATTTACGTCAATTGGAGAACCAGTTTTCCATTTCATTAAAATGTGATCATCTCGTTTTCAGCGAATTCTTGCAAAATATTCAATAAATTCATGCTTAAAACCGCAAAACTTAACGATGGGGTAAATTAATAAATTCGCAATTATTGGGGAACCACTAAGCTCCATTCCCTTTTATTACTTCATATTTATTTATCTTTCGTATTAAATCGATTACAAATCAAACGAAATGAAATCCTTTCCCCATTTAAATGTATAATGTAGATTTACAAATGTATTAAAATCTATTCCCTGATTTTATTGAAAATCATCAGAAAATGTACCAATTTCGATATATTGTAGCTATAGAAGGTAAAATATAGTACCTCAATTGTTATAAAATTAGAGATGTCGTATAAAACGACAATAGTCTAAATCATTTGCAGTGATCTTAAATAAAAGAAATGCAGATTTTTAGAGAATCGCATCACAAGTCTTTAGAAGTATGCCACTTTGGAATCGGATAAAATTTGGTAAAGTTATGGACTTTAGAAGTCCAATTTTGAGTCATTATTACAAGACATCGGAAAATTCGAAAAAACCAACATGAAAATGGGTCTAAAATTTGATCAACAATTAGTTGAAAAATTACAATGCAGATTTTTAGAGAATCGAATCACAAGTCTTTAGAGGTATGCCACTTTGGAATCGGATAAAATTTGGTAAAGTTATGGACTCTAGAAGTCCAATTTTGAGTCACTGTATTATAAGACATCGGAAAATTAGAAATAACTTAACATGAAAATGGGTCAAAAATTTGATCAGCGTTAAATTGAAAATTTTGAATGCAGTTTTTTAGAGAATCGAATCACAAGTCTTTAGAGGTATGTCACTTTGGAATCGGATAAAATTATGGACTCTAGAAGACCAATTTTGAGTCACTGTATTACAAGACATCGGAAAATTAGAAATAACTTAACATGAAAATGGGTCAAAAATTTGATCAGCGTTAAATTGAAAATTTTGAATGCAGTTTTTTAGAGAATCGAATCACAAGTCTTTAGAGGTATGCCACTTTGGAATCGGATAAAATTTGGTAAAGTTATTGACTCTAGAAGTCCAATTTTGAGTCACTGTATTACAAGACATCGGAAAATTAGAAATAACTTAACATGAAAATGGGTCAAAAATTTGATCAGCGTTAAATTGAAAATTTTGAATGCAGTTTTTTAGAGAATCGAATCACAAGTCTTTAGAGGTATGCCACTTTGGAATCGGATAAAATTTGGTAAAGTTATGGACTCTAGAAGACCAATTTTGAGTCACTGTATTACAAGACATCGGAAAATTAGAAATAACTTAACATGAAAATGGGTCAAAAATTTGATCAGCGTTAAATTGAAAATTTTGAATGCAGATTTTTAGGGAATCAATCCACAAGTCTTAAGAGGTATGTCACTTTGGAATTGGATTAAATTTTGCAAAGATATGGAATCTGGAAGTTCAATTATGGCACCCCATTTTTTCAGTCATCGAAAACATAGAAATAACTGACATGAAAAAGAATCAACAGGGAGACTAGTTTGTGTAGAAACGGCCTTTTCAATGCAAAGAAAATGTGTCACGTTCGACATGTCACGTATCCACAACTCATTTTTTGTTAATTCAATTGAAAAATTTGTTAACCCTTGTAGAGAGTGTTTTTAAGTAATTTAATATATAGCATAATAGATAAAATAATGTATTAAATAATAATATAATATATATGTATTCAATGCATCTACATTAGATTTCTTACCTCATATCCACGATTAGAGCGTTATCAAAAAATTTGAGTTCTGTAAACAGTTTATTGGTTTCGTAATTTTTGGTTATAAATACAAAGATTTCCTTGTACACATAAAATAACATTACCTAATGTTTTCTTAACTAAGGATTCTGTTTAAATAACATAGATCGACAAAAAAAACCTATTCGGAAATCATTTTTTCTTAACCTGCAAAGTGATTTTGTCGACCAGTGTAAATTTCTAGAATTATTTGCTGTGACTTTCAGATTTGTACGTAAACTCGTTTCGGATGCATTTGTTCCCATGGAAGATCTTGATCAAACCCATGTCGATATCCCTGGCAAAAATAGTTCCCTTTATTACAATTTCTATTGTTCTCCGATTCTGGTTCCGCCTTATATCACACACTTAATATCTTGCGTTACAATAGCAATTTTGCGGCTTTGTGGTTTCGCAAAGCACAGCATTGATTGATGGTGAATTTTCACATTCGCATTTTCGGTTTTCACTTTCACATAAATTATATATATATAGTTTTTAATATTAATTGTTTTTTTGGTGTGGAATATTTTTGATTTATATGGGTAGAAAAAAACTGTCTTTTTGTCAAGATTTATATAGCAGCAAATCAAGTTGAAAGCAAACCTGCGAAAGTGAAAATTGAAACATGCCCAATGTTTGTGATCAGAGCAGCTGCTTTTGGAATTTCTCAAAGGTACGTACGTTATGGTTTCTCTTATCTCGGTTCAAGTGCTTTGGCAAACTAACAAACTAATACAAAAAGCTAACAACAAGTACAACTACACACATAAAGCTGACAAAACAACACAGAATAAAGCCCTGCGACTAGGTATGGCGCACCCATTTACTTCATAATACTCGAAAGGCTGGTGTAGCCGCTATTGGGCTGCACGGGATCTTGGTCACGTTGACATCTTCCGCAGCAGCAAATGCTCTTCACCACATCCACGAATCTCGTCTGTTCGAAGTCATCCAGATCGGTCATGAAGACACCGGAACTAATGTCCTCGGCAGTCCGGGTGCCGACAAAAGCCTTGAGATCGGTGGTGGGGAAGCCATCCTTGTAATACGCCTTAATCGTATCGTAGGCATCCATGATGACGGCAATGAACAGCGACAGGACCACATAAATGTACAGAGAAATGAACGAGTACAAGTAGATCTGGCAGAACCACCACAGCCATGTCGCCTTGCTCGAAAGCGTGGCAAAGGTCGCGAACATATCATCGCCGTTGATCAGCGCAAACAAACACTCTGAAGTGGTGGCCAGCGAACGGAACTTCATGTGGTAGGGCCCAAGAATCAGCCAGCCGCAGAAGACGAATCCCGCATAGATTAACAAGGCGGCGATAAGGAAGCGTAGAATCTTTGGTGCCGCTTTCTTCAGCGTTAGTATTACAACGTTGTAGGTCTTAAAGAAGCCGAGATATCTCAGCACTCCGAACCAAACGAGCAAGTTGCCAATACCCAAAAACAGCGAGCAGGTATCCCATTGGTCCACCACCAAGTACCTTCCCTCGATTTGCTCTTTCAGAGCTGATCCAATAATCAAAAGGACGTCATTGAAAATGATCATGATGTACCTGTAAAAAATATATATATTATAGATTATTTGTTGTATCTTTTTAAAGGTTTTCACTAGGCTTAAAAGTGCATTACTCTGCCTGGGCAAGTATTGTTTCATTTCAATATTGGTCTTTCGAGTAATGCATTCTTCTTAATTCCCTTCTCGCTATACATACCAAAAGTTAACAAACTCCAGCCGCCCATCGAAGCTCAGCTCTTTGCCAAAATGCGACCGGAAAAAGTTGACTGTAGTACATCTCAGCAGGTAAGCCCTCCACAATGCCCTCGTGCAGAGGGCAAACGATAATGCGCAGGTTAGTAGGACGAATATATTGAGTACGCTTCGCAGCATGGAATCGAAATTAGCCTCCGATATGAAGTCAGTGGCTCCATGGCACTTTAGTCGCGTCGCCTCCGCATCCAGTGAGAGCAGCATCTGCCCGTCGTGGTCTCGATTGTTGAACATTATGGAAATGTCGAATCGGAAACAATCGGGAGCAGACAAGGGGCCACCGTTGGACTTAAAATTCACCGTCTTAATCTTAAATGTCAACTGTGCGGAGACGAGCGAAGCAAAATTGACCTCCACATCGCGCTCCTGCAGATATTTCTCCACCCCAATGGTGGTCACGTTCGGTGGCAGCCACTCGCACAGCTCGTCGACGTGTGGATCGAAAATGTACGACTCGTTAAAGCCGAATATGGTGCCCTCCCGGTAGTTCTGCAGGCACAGCTTTAGCGGCGGCATCGTGTTGTTGTGTGTGGGGTAGTCATAAGGTCCAATCGAGCGGCTCACATTGGCATATCCATCAACGGCATACTGGACAGTGTCGAAGAACTCCGATTTTAGGTACAGGGCAAAAGGACCCACCGCTGGCGGATAGCTCTCCACTTCCCGTGAGGAATCCCAGCCTCGCAGGAAGAGGTGCGAGAAGGCAAATCGGTTATCACCTGTATAGTTGATGTGGTTATACCGCGAGTGGGCAAAAAGGCACAGTTGCATCGTCACCAGAAAGATCTTTACAATCTGAAAAGGTTTAGGAGTGAAAGTAATTAACTAATTTGAATGCTAACATACATTGTTATATAACCCAGTTCATTCATTTTAAAATACATAGTGAATATTGTAGTGCTCTTATCTAGTTGCGGTCTCAAGCGTCAGAACCTTATATAGGAGGCATTTCAGTGATCTAGAAAAGCTTATCTATAAATAAATACCAAATTATGCTAGGGCATGCGTCAGTTTTTATTTATTGGCTATATGCAGCGATATCTGATTTTGGTTTAGAATAATCATGACTAGAAGTAAGAATTGTTTTTGGTTCATTCTATTAATCATTTTAAAGCAATTAAAAAATCCCCCCAGAATCGAACATTTATAATTCATTAAATAACATTTAAAATTCGTACGAGTGCGCCCACACGAAATGTATAGCCATAAAATTCTTTGAAATTTCCTATGCGATTACGTATTGTTCTAACTATAGTTAAACCCTATAGATAAGGCATCGATAAGAAAGAAGGAGCTTTACAATGCAAGCAAAATAATCAAGAATGTGTTGACTATACGCCACTTTACATGCTCAGAAACCGAACAAACAATAAGATTGGAGAAGGTTCATTTAAGGCGGCTGTAAATTGAGCAAGCCGCCTAAATAAAGTGGTTCGGATGTGTCACCCGAGATCCGCCCTCCAATCCCCTCGCATCACGCGACATTGTCAATTAACTGGCTTTTTATCCAGATGCGAATCGAAATTAAAATCGAAACCCGGAAGTGTTCTCACCTGCACAACGAACTTGTAGGGAAACTTTCGCTTGGCCTGCCACTTCTCGATGGGATTCATGAAGTAAAACTGCAGTTTCCTACGCATTCGCTCCTCCTGATAGGATGCGGCCGAGGATCCGGGGAACTCGGGCTGCTCCTCGCGCCCCTCCACGGACTGGGGAGCACTGCCACTGGACATGGTATTGGCTGTGGGAATAGTTATGGGCATGGGCACCACAGGGGCCACTGGAGTGGACTGGAGCAGCACCTGGCGGCGCAGGATCCTGGGGTTCACATACTCCTCGTCGCTCTCCGGTGGCGATTGTTGGGCAGCCTCATAGCTATCCGTACGGCGTTTCACGGCCGGAGCAGCGGGTGCTCCGGGGCCGTAGCTCTGCATCTCGATGCGCTCCTCCTTCGTCGCGAGGTCGAATCACCTGCGTTGTTGTTCTCTGTGCTAGCTTTCCTTTGCCCGCCCAGTCGACATGCAAAAGAAAGAATCCGCACAGGCGCAACAAGCAATCGGGGGAGGGGGTGATAAATATAGCTATTTAGCAATTAAGACGCGACTCTTGCCAGCGAAATTAAATTAAATACTGGCCAAAAAAACGAGAAAATTGCTTTGTTTTCAACCATCAACTTAGAGGTGGAACACGAATCGATGTTTATTGGATTTGATAGTATCGATTACAGAAATATGGCAACGCCATTTATTAGCGGGTGTCCACAGCGCAGACTCAAACCTAATCGGTTAACCGCTTCTATTAATTCTTATCAATAATAAGAATTTAAACATAGCCCTTCAATATCCAAGATCAAAAGTTTTAAGTCCTTAAAACTAATTAAGACTTTTACAACGACACAAGTTAACATAATATTAAACTGAAATCGAAGCTCAAAAAGAAAGCATTTAATTTACACTTATGAAAAACCGTACAATCAGCTTAAAATAACTTTGAAAAATATCCTCGAGGTGGAAAAATGTTGAGGATTTGACAAGATCTTGCCAACGAATTAAATGAAAGTCAATAATTTGGTTAAGTTCTGTTGTATTCTGTATATATTTAATACGGATAGATTATTTTTTATATATATTAATAACTTTTGCAATTTGAGAATAAGATCAATGAGTGACACCACAATAAGAGTCAAAATTATGTTTGATTAATCTTCATTAGCTTCAGAAACTAATTTCTCTTCGTTCCATTTTGGCATTCTCGTTTTGCTCGGTTAAGCACCATTCCTAGACAATTAATACAATTAAAGCGCCTAACTAAAGTCGCGATTTGTGAGGATTATGGGGGCTGCAAGGCTCCAGCCATAAATGAAGACACCCAGCCAACTGGAGATGATCTTAACCCACATGGAAGCCTCGTTGCCGTTGAACAGCTCAATATCCGAGTTGGGTCTGAAGGGATAAATATCGAATTAGATTGGTTTATGTGGTAAATGTTCAATGGATATATATTTTGAGGGGTCGAGTAGTATTTACTCTTCTACTTACTTGTACCAGTTGGTCAGGGTCATCATAACGTAGAGCGAGGCGCAGACGAAGACCACGTGGAACATGGACCAGGAATAGGTGACGCCCTCGGTCTCGTTGTCCGTGCTCGGCTTTCCATTGGCATCCGGGCCGGCCTCTGTGTCTGATAGAGCTTCTGTTAAAACTACATTAATCAGAGTGCAAAGAGGAACGGCGAGTGGCCATATTTTTCACACAGTTTCAAATACCAAGTAACCGAGTTGATTAGTTGGGTTAGTCGGAAAATAAATCAAGAAAATAAAGCGGCAATAGCAAACAAGTGTTAATAATCGGTATTAGCTTGGGGTTTTTTGTACAGCGATAAAAATGAAAAGTGAGGGCGATCGAATGCGTGATGGAAACTGTGGAATTGTGGAAATGGCTGCGAATGCGGACGGAGCACTGGGAATGGAAACAAAGCACCTACCACGCTTCTCGCTATTATCATGGGTGATCTTTGAAACCTCCACCGCCGAACTGATGCAGTTGTAGAGGATGCACAGAAGCCACACAACCAGTCCAATGATGTTGGTGGTGTCGAAAGTAACCCTGGAGTTGTGGCTGGGCGGAGCCACAGTGGTGGTGGCATTGCCGAAACCCTCCATCATTCCAAACATTCCGGGATTGCATTCTTTTTCTATGGGTTTACAAGATAAATTATAAACTATATTATATATTTTGCCGTAGTTTTGCCTACCCGGATTGTTGGCCACTGCGGACCAGGTCAGATAAACCGTGTATAAGGTAACCAAGGAGCTCTGCAATAGACCGGAATGGGGCAAACGCTCCTGCACAGCTGGCAAAATCGATATAACGCTGATCACCAAACAAAAGATGAGATTAATGGAGATAAAGAACTTGTTGATGCCGCAGCCAGTGCTCTAACAATAAAGACATCAGTTAAAAAAGCAAACAAATTAGCTTCACAATTTACACTCACAGTGGTGAAGTAGATATAAAGCAGAGTAATCCCAGTCAGCGATAAGATATAACCCAAGAGAGTGACCCCGGCTAAGGCATAATAATAACCACGACTGTTTTCAGCGCTCTCTGGAAAAAACGAATAAGTTAATTAGAAAGATGAATCATTAAAAATGTTTTAAAATACGCCTTACCTATCCAATTCTCCGCCAGCGAATGCGCGAAATCTACAATAATGACCAGCTGTACGAGTATGAAGGCCAGGCCACCTATAAGACCCACCCACATCATGGCAGGACCAAAGGATCCATCCGGTATGAAGATCGCACCAATTGCAGCGCCAAAGCAGATCAGGAATTTCAGGGGCCAAAAGTTGTTCTGGATGTGGGATCGCGGATCCCTGGAGCTCTTCACCCCCAGCATAATCAGCGACATTAAAGCGAAAAAGCAGGCCATTCCAAAGCAAATCCTATAGACAGCCATATAACCCAGAGCATATTCGCAGTCGACTTGCAGAGATCCTCCCGAAAAAGTGTCAAGTGTCTTGGAGCTGTACGTGGAGGTCGAATTGATGCAGAAAGGCAGCTTCTTCAACGTGTCCTGCAATCCTGGAGACAGGGCAATTGCCCCCAGAACAGTGCCAACCAGTAAGATGAAGGCGTACATGAAACGCGAGGAGGAGGCGTTGGTGCAACTGGGACAGGCGGAGCAGCACATGCTGGCTGCAGTGCCTCCGCAGCACATGGCGCACTGGAAAAGTTATGAAAAAATATATTACATTTTTAGATCATAAAAAAGATGTAAATAGAGATTTTCTATTTCAATGACTGTTTTTTTTCTATTTTGTTTTAACTAATATTCAGACCTCATTGATTCATTTATGTATTTATGTTCTATAATGGACTTGGAATATTTTATATCAACATTATGCGGCAAGATGAATCATATTTTCTTGAGAAATTGTGTACATACTTTATGTAGCGCTTAATCAGAAAGCTAGATACCGCAGAATCTTTAAAACTCAGTATAGATTTAAGAGAGAACAATCATCACCCATGAACTTCAGTGAAACATATATGATATTAGTAACTCAATGCATGAACAAAAATATAAATTCCTTAAAACATATGGCTGCCTTTATTGATTTGTAACCAGGTGACCAAAATTACAAATGGAAATTACCCGGTTCATTGGCTACTAATTTGCAATCTCTTTACATACCTGGGCGGCCGAGCAAAGGCCCAAAACAGCTCCCATTGTCGCCGAGATGTAGTTAGGTTTTCACTTTCGTCAAATTGCGTTTTTATTAAATTAAACAAATCTTTGTTTGTGAAAATATGAGCTAGAGCTGGGCTACCCACTCCCGATAGTTTTGATATCGGAGGATATCGAATAGTAAGACAATGTAAAGGCGATTGTATCGATAGCATAGGCTCACATCTCGAATGCACAACCATGGAAGTAAACAATCCGACCTGAGAAATATCCATATTTTAATAAATATTGATATTCTTACACAACCGTAAAGAAATTCATTGAATTTACAGTGCATATCAATTACATTATTATTCATTTTTAGAGCGATGGAATCGTATGTATGCCGAATTTGTCTAAGGACTGGCAAAAACATGGTCAGTATATTTAAAGAGGCGAATGGACTGGGAATTTCCTTTGCCTTTATGATTTCTGACTGTACTGGCTTTAAAGTTGATAAAGGGGACCGATTTCCCAAAGCCATTTGTACCTCCTGCCAACAGGATGCAAAAAATGCATTCGAAATCAAGCAAACTTACGAAAGGAGCCACCAGGTCTTTTGTCAGTTCATGCAGAATTCAAAGGAGGACTTACTCCTGGAAGAAGTGTACAATGTATCAAATTGCGAGAGTATAGTATCAAATGATGGTGAAGAACCTTATAGGAACGTCGCCCAAATTGCGGAAGAAAAATTCGAAGACCTGCGATGCACGGAAAAACCACAATGCTTTTTGAATATCTACGATTCACTTGCAGAAAACTTGTTTTTAGACTCCAATATCGACGATTATGCAGATTGCGATCCTTCAAATGCTGAGACGGATGATGACAATAATGTTAGTAAAGGAAGCGATGAACACCCGCAAACCCACGAAGGAGAAAGACAGCTTAAAGTCTCAAATGCTCTTACAATTAATTCTAAACTAACTGACACACGAGAGCGACCTTTTAAGTGTTCCAAATGCTCAAAGGCTTTTCTCAGTAAATCAAATCTCCTAAATCACGTGCAAGCACACAAGGGAGAACGACCGTATAAGTGTACCTACTGCCCAAAGACTTTCAACAAGACGTCAAATCTTCGGTATCATGTGCGGAGGCACACGGGAGAACGACCGTTTAAGTGTACCTACTGCTCTAAGGGTTTTATAACAAATTCACATCTTCAGAAACACCTGCGAATTCACACAGGAGAGCGACCCTTTGGGTGTTCCTACTGCTCAAAGGCTTTCTCCAGGAATTCGACTCTTCAAATACACCTGCGAACACACACGGGAAAACGACCTTATAACTGTACACACTGCTCAAAGGCATTCTCCAGAAGTTTTACTCTTCAAGTCCATATTCGGTCTCACACGGGGGAACGACCTTATGAGTGTACCCACTGCCCAAAGGCTTTTACAAGTTTATCACATCTTCAAGCACACTTAAAAATCCACACAGGAGAACGACAATTTAAATGTTCTAATTGTTCAAAGAGTTTTATAAGGAAGTCACAATTGCAGAGACACGAGTTAATCCACACAGAAGGAGGACCATTTAAATGTACTCACTGCCCAAAGAGTTGTAAACTTAATTCACATCTTCAGTCACACTTGCGATTGCACACAGGGGAAATAATGTCCTTTAAGTGTTCCCACTGCCCGAAGATTTTTACCCGGAAGTTTAATTTGAAAAAACACTTACGAGTCCACACAGAAGAAAGCCCTTTCACAGCTTAACCAGACTCAAGTCTAATACGACAAATGTGTTTCCATTCTGTAAAAAATCACTCCATTATTAATTGTTATTAAGTATTCGAAATTGTGCAAAAAAATACAATTTTAGAATAGCACAAAACAAGGGATAATAAACAAAACCACCCAGATTTTAAGCTGAGTTTTCTGTCCTTTCTGCATTATTTTGTGTTTTCTAAATTAAATAATTATTATAATGGTCCACAATTACAAATTCTATAGCATATGCTGGAAATTATTAAAAACTAAAAATTCTTTAGCATATGCTAGAAAGTATTAAAAATTAAAAATTCTCTAGCATAAGCCTGACAATTTTTAATTGTGGAACTGAATCTTCCTAAATTCAAATTTGGACTGAGATATATCTCGGGTATACTTTAAAAATCATATTTATCTTTGTATCTTTGCAGTCCAAAATAAATATTGGAGGAATTGTTTTTAAAAACTCCATTTTTATCTTTTGGTTATTGAAACTAACTTACAAAACGCCCAAAAATTCAGAGATTTAGCCTAGACTGCCTAAATGAATGAATTATAAAACCTCCCAGCGGAGTTCCGAACCATGGCTTGAGTCGGCAACGATTGTTTCTATATGCCGTTAAATCGATTGCTAAGTCCGTTTTCATTTCAAATTTTCAAAAATAATAAATACATTTAAATATTATACAATTAATTTTCTTAATTGTATATTTATATATTTCGGCAGATTAGCAAACATTATTTACAGTGCTGTATATGGGGTAAATGGTGCTTTACAACTGGTGTCAAATCGTTAACAGTGCACAAGAACGGGAGGAAGATTTTCGATACCCGTTAGAGACGGAAAAATATCGATGGTGCCCAACAAAGCATCGATATCAACGATATTTTAAAAACATCGATGACATCGATGTTGGCATCGATATTTCTTCATCTCTAAAGTCGCCTCCGCAACGCTAAGTCCGCTCTCATTTCAAATTTTCAAACTCCCGAGAGCGGTTGGAAAGGAAAGCGGCTCCTGAATCCATCCGAAACCGAATCGAATCGCATTCAGTCAAGATCCTGCATTTGCCGTGGAACTGAAAATATCCGAATTTGAATCGAAGCGCAGTGGTGGTTTTCTCTCTCTCTCTTTCTCTCGCGTGTGTGTATGTGTGCGAGTGGCAGGAAAAGTGCGAAGCCGAAATCTGTTTAGCTGAAAGAAAGCGCAACTTCAGTTAGCAAGCAAAAGTTGTAAAAGAAAAGCCAAAGCAAAAAAAAAAACAAGAAAAATGGCAAGCGAAGTGGCCCAAATACCCGCCGAGGAAACGCCCGCAGTGGCGGCGTCGGAAAAGCCAGAAGAGCCGGAAAAGCCCGCAGTGGAAAAAGTGGAGGATGCCGAGGACAAGAAGGACGAGGCCGGTAAACAGCAGCAGGATAACGAGGAGCCCAAGAAGGACGAGGCCGGAAAACAGCAGCAGGATAATGAAGAGCCCAAAAAGGAGGAGGTGGCGGCCAAATCGGAAGTGGCTACGAAATCGGAAGCCCCACCCGCCCAAAAATTCAATGTGCACAAGACCAACTTCGAAAAGGACATTATCTATCTGTACCAGTTTTCGCGCACCCCTCTGCTGCCCTCTTTGTCGCCGTATTGCTTAAAGGTGGAGACCTGGCTGCGTCTTGTAGGCCTGAAATACGAGGTAAGTTCGGAGAACTAAGTAAAATCTATGAAAATCCACAAAAAATATCCTTTTAAAACCCAGATTATCCTGAGCAAACCTACTTTAACATCAGGATAACTCTAGAAAATCCCAGAAAAACCTAAATAGAACCCAAGAAAACCCAGGAAAACCCGAAAAGAAACCCAGATATCCCAGATTTTCAAGACATTTTTGCGGTACAGATTTTTTCCCAGCTCCTGCGGGAGAGGAAGAGAGCGAGAGAGCCAGCGCCGCCATCATGGTGTGCTAAGCCTGCCCGTGTGTGTGTGTGACCTGCCCTGCCCCGTAACTGAAAAAGGGATACATTTAGCCTGCCCTCTCTTTTCCTCAGTCATGTGTGTGTGAACCTGTAGCCTGGTCCTGTATGGGTGTGTGTGCACAGCGTATACATAAAATTTGTGTGTGCGCCGACGCCGCCGCTGCGTCGCTGCTTTATGCTCCACTCTGGCCCCCTCTCTGATTCCATCCCCCCACACTCCCCTTTCGCAAAAGTCGTGCTTCAAATTTTGCACTTGCCGACTCTCTCCTTTTGTCTCGCTCCCTCTCTCACCGTCTGCTCTTTGTCTTTTGTTGCTGCACTGTTTTTTATTTCACTTTTCTCTCGACTTCTTTTTGCACTGGTAAAAAAGTTAATATGATATGATAAGATGATTTTGACATACACAATGTCAAAAAAAACTATCTATCTTTAAATAAACATCTTAAAGCCAGAAAATTAGTTTCTATCCAGCCCAGGAATCCATCTTAGAATTCTTAGGGTATCAATCATAAATTATGAAAAATGTTAATGTTTCCCTTTCAAACCGATATGTTTTTTTCTGTGTACAGTAGCAGCAGCAGCAGCTTGTAATTGCTTTTAATAAAAATTGATGCAGTTTAAGATGGACTCAGAAATAGCTGTCTTCCTCTCCTCCTCGTCCTCCTTTTCCCTTTCTTTTTCTTATCCGTTAAGTAGCTGTAATAGTGTGGGAGGGAGAGGCATACAAACAACTGTCAACGACTTCCAATGGTGCCTTCCATTTTAGTTTGTTTTTTTTATTCTTCACTTTTTAAAGCGCGCGATGCGGTTTGCATATTTTTCATAGTTTTATAGCAGAGGAAAAACTTGTATATATGGCTTGGGGAGAGGGAGAAATGGGTGCGGTCACCCGCACAAAAACTGGCGACGCAATTGCTGTTTAATCTTATTAATTACATTGGTTAATGAAAAACGAGCCCCTTGTGAGGAATGTTAATTGATGCCTTTTCCAGATGCCGATAAGCAATCGCCCCCATATGTTGCATTCCACGAATGCGAGGAGGAAAAGCAATTATGATTGACAGTCCGTCAGTTGGCCCGCAGCTGGAAATTACTTTCCATTTTCATTTTTCCCATTTCCACTGATAAGAAGGCAGCCTAAAAACACAAAAAAATGGAAGAGTTCAACAAACTGGAGACCTTTGACATTTCTGGTTTGTTGTTGCAGCGCATTAATCATAAAAAAGGGAGGGTGACTGTAAATGCAACTGACTAAGCCAGTTTTCCCCCCTCTCGCTTTGCTTTTTTATGCCCCCCGCTGCTCGGCTGCATTTTTTCTTTTCCTCCTTTGTATACACATTCATCAGTGTAAACAAGAGCAGAAGTTGTTTCTTTATTGATGATAAACCAAATGCATTTTTTTCACACCACATTGAAGGCGGCGCCCATTAATAAACACAACAACAACGCATAAGTTTCGCTTTTGAGGCGGTGGCCCGCATTGCTGGCATTCCTGAGTGTCGCGTTAGTAAATTGTGCAATTAATTTACATTTTCTCTGCCATATGCATACGAGCACAGACTGATTAAAATTCAAATGGAAATGCTGGCGCGCCATTTCATTTGTGCAATATTGCCAGTCTACAATTTCAAGGTATTCTGGCAACGCTGCTGTCTTTCCTGCTGCAACTGTACATGTGCGAATGTGTGCGTGTGATTGAGAGGAAATGGAGTTTTTATTTTCTGTCGTTTTTGTTGTTTTAGGTATTGTAGCTGCCTTTGTTTTAATTAATAAACCGCATATTTGCATTAAAACAACACACAGTGGACGGCCTTTGTTGTTGCTCACTCGCTCCAGTGCAATTCTCCCGCTCTCGCTCTCATTGGAACGTTTGTGCAAGGGTGTGGATACACACACACGCACACACAGGCTGCATAATTGCATTGCTGTTGCTTCTTCTTGCCTGATTTTCTACACTGCCAAAAAGCCGAGGGGGAGCCATTGCCTTAATTGGCAAAATGATTTAATAAAAAAATAAATATTTGCATTGTGCGTGGGCACAAGAAGTAGAATAAGAAGATGGAGCTGAATAAGAGGAAACAGCAGACAGGCTGCCTTTTTTGTGGATCATTGGAATTGAAAAATGCGGACTCCACCCTTTTTGCAGAGCGTTGCGATGCTGCCGCTGGAAAGCGAAAATGAAAATCTCTCTCCGCTCTCTCCTTTCTTTGCTCTCTCACTCTCTAGCGGACAACCACACCCTGCCTCTCCCTTTTTTGGCAGAGGGCGCGAAAGCATAAAATATGCCAACGGCCCGTCTCGCTTTTTTGTTATGGCCGTTGTTTCTAATTAGAAATTATTATGTAGATTTGTGCAGCCAAGCTGAAAACGAAAAGGTTCAAACCGGACACCCGCCTATAACTGTCACATAGCTTACGGTAACGCTTCGTGTGGACGTGTGTACACACTGGAAGGCATTGGAATATGTCCAAATGTTCGAATAGCGGGCAATTGGAACAGAGTTTTCCCTCCCGCTGTGTGTGCGTTATAGGGGTGTTGGTTTTTGGGTGGGTTTTCTGTTTTCGAGTCCGGGTTTTGGGTTTTTGGGTTCCTGGGAGGTACAGCTAGCTTTTCATGTAGTGGTTGGTTTTTCAGCATCTGCTTGGCATACATAGGAAATACCCAAATACACACGCAAACAAACGATTGCCGGCTAGATGTATGTCATGAGCGCCATCTAGCGGCCGGATTTCTTGCGGGGGAGTGAACTACATTTCGCATTAGTCATGGCTGTAAAAAAAAGTTCCTTGTTCCATATGGCCATCTCAAGTTTATGAGTATCCTTAACATCTGGAATGTTACGAAAATAGTTTATTGCTTTTTAAAATAAAATGCTTCAAGGAAATAATACTAAAACCTTTCTGATTCTACGGTACAATATTATAAAATAGGAAGTTTTGTATTACTGAGATTATAATTATAATTTTTTAAATATTTATCCATTAATCAGTTTGGTCAAAATGTTAATCAATAATTTTAATTATTTGTGATTTTCAGTTAGAAATAATTTTTAGATTTTATTGGAGCAATTCACAATCTTATAATGAGACTCATAAAAATCACTCTTTGAACCTCTGCTTAGTTATAGTGTACACTCAGGCTTTTTATATATGTAAAAAGAAACCCCAAACAGATATGAC